ATATATATATATATATATATATATATATATATATATATATATATATAGAAAGTAAAAAATAATATATTATTGATTTAAATTAATTTAAAAGAACATTAATTTTACAAAGTATTTACTTCAAGTTCTAAAATATTTGGAAATGTGGAACTGGAATTGTATAACTACTTAAAAATACCAGTCTTTTGCTATAAAATCTAATATACAATAGAAGATTTGTACAACTGTGTAGTACATTTGAAATATGGCACAATAGTGAATAAAGATTAAATTATAAAAGATAAAATTTGTCTAGAATTTTTTTTTCATTTTCTAAAAGCAGCTTTGGTATTTTGATATTTTCCTGTTTTTAAAATACGCCTAAAATTTGCCTAATCAGACAGGTGACAATAATTTGGAATCGGTCTTTGACGAACTGCGTTTGCAAGTTGCTTTGGATAATAGCTTCCGTTAAATGCATAAATGTAAATTTTAGATTTCTTTACTACCTCAGAATATTATTGAACTTTTTAAGTTATTGCTTTCTTTTTTTCATTGGTCTGTCTCGTTTTTCTTGTACTTGTGCCAAAAGAAACTGCAAAAATAATCTTTCCAAACTCTCCTCATCTGCAATTGGTCAGGCAAACCAAAAGACCTGCCTTAAACTTGAAGAGTCTCTGCATACTCATTGAAAAATAAAATCACTCTTATGTCATTCCTAACCTGTGGTCACATAAGTACAGAACAGCGTGGCGTGAATGTTCTGCTCAACAACTTTTAGAACAAATGAAGTCATACAGATTTGAAACAACATGAATGATGATAGAAGTGTCATTTTAAACTGGAATAGATCAAACATAAAGACACACTTCAGTCTTAAGTGTCTCAAGTGAATCAAGTGATGAAATATAACAGGACGCTCTCTTAAAGCAGCATTTAAATCGAACACAACTAACCCTGCTGTGTAAAGACCACAGATCTTTACATTTGATCTGTCTCTCCTCTCACTCCTTCTCTCATCACTTCAGCCATCTATCTATTCATCCTCATCTCTCATCCGTCTCTCTCTTTCTTTGGGAGTTCAAAGACGGTCTCTCCTTTCTTTTAAACCCCCCACTCACTCACCCACCCACCTCCCCGTATCTCTCCTCTCTTTCATAGCCCGCTGGTCTAACCCTCATTAGAATGGTGAGGACTTGAGCTGCTGAATATGTATGCAGCTCAGGAGAGGAGAGGAGGGATTGTGGATTAAGGGAATGAGAGAGGAGGCTGCCGGGTCTCTGATGTTGGCCGTGACATTTCCATGATGGCGGCTGTCTGTCGGAGCTCATTGTTCGGGGTCAGAGCCGAACGACTTTCACTTCTCCATCAGCGTGTATCTTGGTCAGTCAAACTCACGTGGCGTTCTGCGGGAGAGAGAGAGACAGTCACTTAGACACTGACCTATTTACTGCAAGTGTCAAAAAACAGACACCTTTGAAATGAGGAATGCACCAAACAAGACTGCATTGATATTCCACAAACATTCAGGTTTCTTCTGAACCACTAAACCTAAATATGAAATATTAAAAATTAAATATATATACACACACGTATATGTATGTATGTATGTATGTGTGTGTATATATATGTGTGTGTGTTTTGGCTTTTTTAAGAAATGTAAGATAAAAATTCAAAGATTTTGGTGGAACATTCTACGTTGATAAAACATCAAATGTAAAATTCAAAATTGAAATTCAACATTCAAATTGAAAGACATCACCATAACATTCTGGATACAAAATATGAGTCATCATCTTATCATTTTTGCTTGCTGATTTGCAATTGGCTTTCTTTCTTGCATCAATTTGCATACTGAATTTCGATTGGTCTTGTAATCTTGTAAAGCCTAAGTGTATTTAAAAAAATCAAGGCATGTATTTTCTTTCAGGAAATAAATATTAAAAATTAAATATATATACACACACGTATATGTATGTATGTATGTATGTATGTGTGTGTATATATATGTGTGTGTGTTTTGGCTTTTTTAAGAAATGTAAGATAAAAATTCAAAGATTTTGGTGGAACATTCTACGTTGATAAAACATCAAATGTAAAATTCAAAATTGAAATTCAACATTCAAATTGAAAGACATCACCATAACATTCTGGATACAAAATATGAGTCATCATCTTATCATTTTTGCTTGCTGATTTGCAATTGGCTTTCTTTCTTGCATCAATTTGCATACTGAATTTCGATTGGTCTTGTAATCTTGTAAAGCCTAAGTGTATTTAAAAAAATCAAGGCATGTATTTTCTTTCAGGAAATGCAAAGTTCTTTTCATACTTTAGTGATAGAAAAGGATGAAAATGAAATGAAAATAGCTAAAATCAATGTTCAGTACAACCATCACAACTCATTTTTTCAATAAATAACTATTATTTGAAGTTTAATAAAGCATAAAGTAACCTTGACGAGATGATACGCCACTAAATTAATGTTTGCCTAAAGATGTGTGGAGCCAAAAAAAAAGCTTAACACACATACACACACACTTGATTTGTAGGTTTAATCTGGGTTTAATCTGTTCCGTAGACGCCACGCTGCCACAGTGTTTGCTTCAAACTGAAGCTAATCTCCATTGCTCGTGTCCGATTGCTCTTTATCGCCACACACACACACGCGAGTTACTGTCTACTGTGTCTACTGTTTTTGTTTTCACATCACTGTTAATGTCAGTTATGATATGGCAGGTTATCAAATGACGTCAAGTAAACATGGAAAATGTGCACATCCTATCCGACTTGATGTGACAAAACTTGCATTCTAGCGAAAGGCCTCGGGGTCACCCGTCTTGAGTGGTTTGCATATATTACCATCCAATACACTCGATAAACGCTGCACGTCCGTGACTCTTAGCTCGACTTTGCTAATGAGGCACTCGCAAAGTACTTAACTTAAGCATTTCACTGCATTTCGAGAAAGATGCTGAAACCCTGACGATGACTGCGGGTTGATCTTAAAGAAATCAGGAGGCTTCTCCGTTCACATTTCAAAGAGCGACTAAAGCTCGGTGGATTAGAGCAAGCGAGCGGTTTGACAGGCCCTCGGAAAGCATTAACCACAGCTCTGGCAGTGCCACAGCTCCTACTCTCTTCCCTTTGTGCGGGTTAAGAGCATTATCATACACGCTCCCCTTCTCATGCTGCCGTCTTCATTCCCGGCTCCACTGTTTCATCTTTCTCTCACTCCTATCTCCGCTTGTCTCGCGCACACACGCACACTCAACCACACACCTTTTGTTCCTTCAGCGAGTGTGAGGTGCTTCAGTAATGCGTTACAGAGAAACTTCAGTCCTTATCTACTGCTGAGGCTGCAATCTTCCACAGCTCAATCCCTTCCTGTGTCTTTCTCCACATCACTAAATGGATTTGATCTACTTGATGTACACAAACAAACAATGAACAAACTAGGTGCAGTTTTTGACCGTTTTTATTGATTTTAGAAGCAAAGGTGGAGTGAATGGGATAGGTGCATGTTGCAGGCCGAATTCAAACCTAAGTTTTCCATATGAGAGCCACTGCTCTGACAAAAATGGACACTTTTGTTTGTGCGTTCTAGGAGTAAGCGGCACTGACAAAGGACTCAAAGGATTTGAACGATACCTGGTTAAAAACGGATTCACTTTATGACCCAAGACGCATTAAACACTTAACCCTCTTAAAAGGATAGTTGGCCCCTAAAAGACTTTGCTTCTTCTGTGAGATGTTTTGAAGAATGGTTTTGAAAAACCTTTTTGCCTTTATGTTCCTCAAAAAAGTCTTACAGGTTTGCAACCCTACCTGTCTTGATGTAATAAAATTTGTTTAGATTTTAGACAATCCAAGATTCTTTATGTCTATTTCATACCATGTGATGACTAACTCACTTACGTGGAAATAAATTGTTCCGCACATGATCATAAGATTGCTCACTCCAGTATTCACGTTGCATTGAATAAAAGTCATTCTTATCCTCTGAAAGGAAGCCTACCCACTATTCCTTCTTAACTTCAGACAGGGCAAAAAGGTATTTCTTTACGACTTCACACGCTCATGTAGGCTCTGGCTGTGAGAAGACCATAAACTACTGAAGGATTGTACGGCTTACACCTCAAACGGCCGCTGAAACAGTGCATAGATTATGGTGAACTCGTAATTTCACCTCCACAGTGTCGTAACAACGCGACACTTGAAAGACTGACACGATCTCTGCGATATTTACAGCGTGTCGTTTCTCTAAACACGCACTTTTCTCAGTTCGACCCGTCGGGAGAGAGCAGAGGAACGGCGAACAGATGTGCGACGCAACTGTCGTGCTAAACCGCAGCGGCACATCTGCAATGGAGGGGCGCCGTAATCTGCAGGTCCGGCTAAATCACAATAGGCTGACCTATTCTCTCCTGTCTAGTGTGTAATCAAAGTAGGGGTGAGGGGGCCGAACAGGATTCCCACCGATGGATTAGGCCACCGTATTAGATTGAGAATGAAAACGGATGATGGGAGGAAGCGTTTTTTATGTGTGTGCATGTTACTCAGACAGGTTTTACAGCATGTTGCTCGGGGTCTGCCGTGTGAGCCCTTGGTCGGTGGGTCTGATTAGGGCACTCTTCCTCTCCTCCTTACAGTAGCATCAAAGACTTCTATATCCTGTCCCACACTCTCCCGCCCCTGACGTCCCATCCCCCCAGGCTCAGAGCTGTCTGATAATCTTGCGCACAGAGTGTGTGTGCGTGTGGAGCATTGTATTGGCTGGCTGGAGACTTTGAATCCTTTTTTTTCCAACTGTGGGACTTGTCTCTTCTTAATTCAAAGGCAGAATGGAGGAACGTCAAGCGGTGATATGATCTTTGACGGGATTTTTCGTGGCACATCAGTCAAATGCTCTGTGAGGGAAGGTGGGGGGAAAGGTTGTGTGAGTGTGTTTGTGTTCCTGCCTGTATTGGTACAACTGAACAAGACTCTACATGTTGGGTAATTCAAAGCGTCTGCCATAAACACTGTCTGTATCCTGAGCAGGGCATTCTTGGACATAAACACGTTTTATTGCGTCAGATTGCTTCCTCTGAAGATTAGAATCATGCCGGTGTTGCTGGTTTGTTTGATTATCCAGGAATGTCAAATGCTCTGTGAGGGAAGGTGGGGGAAAGGTTGTGTGAGTGTGTTTGTGTTCCTGCCTGTATTGGTACAACTGAACAAGACTCTACATGTTGGGTAATTCAAAGCGTCTGCCATAAACACTGTCTGTATCCTGAGCAGGGCATTCTTGGACATAAACACGTTTTATTGCGTCAGATTGCTTCCTCTGAAGATTAGAATCATGCCGGTGTTGCTGGTTTGTTTGATTATCCAGGAATAAATATTTTCAAACATCGGCTCGTTTAACTATTTAGTGATGCTTTGAGGACTCAATAATGCGCCGCCTTGTCTCTGGATTAAGACCTTTGGACAAAAGCATTGGAAAAATAGGTAGACAGCGTTTGCTGTCACTCAATACATTCATACCCTTGTGAC